GGGAGCTCATCCGGGCCACAAGCAGTCCTCTTAAGCTTAGAAAGAAAGAGTGTGACAACGTGAAGAGGTATTGTAGGTATCCTCGCATCGTAAGGAATATCAATTGGTGCAGGGGCTATATAGTCAGGATCAGAGTTTATGCTACAAAAATATTTATTAATGCTGTATGGATGAAGAACTGAGCTGATCAACTGGGGCTGAGTGTCTCTTCCAGTAATGGTATTGACAGTGAACCACCAAGCACGAGAACCCCTACCGGACATACAAGAATCCAGCTTGAGAGCTTCTCGTTGGTTTACCCTAATAAGAAGGTTGATTCTGTCCTCAAAGCCAACAGGGAGCGGTTTAGATCTCTTTTGCAACCTATTCCTAAATTTCCAAAGATGTTTATCCAATGGTGAAATGAAAGGAGGATCCCTTGAGGATATACGAGCAGAAATCAGCGGGAAGCAATCGTTAAACATGGTCCAAAGGGTATTGGTTAACCCATCACACTTCAATTCATAGTCAGTAACAGAAAAAACCTCCTGCCAATCATGGCTTTTATTTCGATGGCTTTTAATTAATTCATGGCTTTTAATTCGATGTTTGTTCAGGGTCTCGCCTCTGCATTTCGACTTGTTATCGATTTGAACGTAAAAGCTTCGTCGTCAAATTTTCTCATATGTTTGTTTTACCCTGAACATATCTAATATATCCTTTGAAGAAGAATGTAAATTGAAAGGAAAAATGAAAGGAAAAATGAAAGGAAATAAAAAGAAGAAGAAAGGCAAAAGAAAAGTTTGACGTGGTCAGGGTCCGAACTTTTTCTTTTTTATACCTTCAATCTCAATCCTTTGCGCTAGGTACGTAGAGCGGACGAACCAGCGAGATTTGCTTTAAAATATTGATGCTCATTTAATGTGTGTACCTATTCTACTCATTTCCTGCCCTGTCACCGGCCTGTCAGTTGACCAGTGTAGAAATTCTTTCCTAACCAAGACCTTTGGTCACAACTTTGGCATGGACGGGAGCTGTTCATCGATCCTTCTGCATTTTATACCACATTGCTTTTTTCAGTGCAATACTCTACAACTATAGAAGTTACATAAGAGTTAGCACATGCAGTCACAGACTGCCTCTCAGTACCCAAGAACAGGTCTACACGCGTGTGTGCGTGCCTTTGCGCGTGCGGCATGACGTAATTTGCGTCACAAACGAAAAACATTGGCATCTAGACAAAGCTATATGGAATGGACTGCTTATTCTGATGCCACAGCATGAGCAAAAATGGCAGTTTAGAGATCTCGTGCCTTCCAGTGTATCTTATCTGCTGTTTCTTGGTGTTTATATGGAGAGAGTGACTTAAAAGCGGCTGGAAAACTCTGAAACGAAGACAACGTGAAACAGTCGTATCACGTCCATTACTAAGGTGAGCACTGCTCTACGGGCATATTGAATCATTTTATCTCTGCCTCCTCTGATTACCTTTCGTTGTGGAGGAAGCCTGCAATATTTCCGGTTTATTCTGATTTTCTATACGCACAGTTTTTAAAGTTTCACGGGATGTTCAAATATTTCCGGTTTATTCTGATATTCTATATGCACAGTTTTTAAAGTTTCACGGGATGTTCAAATACTTTCCCCTTTTGAAGGAGCTGAGTTTGCAACACAGACTTCTCAATCGTAGGAAGTGATGGTTTTTGTGAACATTTTAGTTATTGTCAATCGTGCGTGGGAGTACCTTGCACAATCTTTTAGATGGGTCTGAACGCATTTATTAATTCGTTTTGAGCTGAAATCATTTGTTAAGGCATTATTTGAAGAAAAAACTTCAGCTTAGAAGCGGACATAAAGCTGAGAGAGATTATCCTGGAGGGAGAGGGGAGAGATATTTTCAATCTCAGTCTCTAGCACGGTGTTTGCCTTGTGGTGAAAAAAGTTGTTCTGTAACTTGGATTTAAGGCATAAGGTTTCTTTAATTTCCTGCACTTTCTAAATACATTGACTACACACTACTTCAGATCAGGGTTTTGCTAAAAGCAGACCCGCGGCCCAGCGGCCCACGGCCCACGGCCCACGGCCCACGGCCCACGGCCCACGGCCCACGGCCCACGGCCCACGGCCCACGGCCCACGGCCCACGGCCCACGGCCCACGGCCCACGGCCCACGGCCCACGGCCCACGGCCCACGGC